CCTCCAATGCCAGATATAACTGGTATGCATGATTTTCAACTAGACCGCAATATTCGGTACCTCTATCCGTAAGAATCCTTAATAGTGGCACATCATGTTCTTGGAACCATGGAAGCACTTTCTCATTTAGTGCATGTGCAGAAGTAATAGCTGTTTTTTCAGTATATAGTTGTGCAAATGCAATTCTTGAATAAGTATCAATAAAGGTTTGCTGATAGATCCTACCAACACCCTTCATGGTACCCACAAAGTAAGTATCTTGTGAACCAAGATAACCTGGATGCTCAGTTTCAATTTCACCATGAGCTTCTTTTTCTAGCTTAGCTTTCTCAAGCATTTTTAGTTGTTCTTCTGTTAGAAGAATACCGTCTTGAGCAACTTTTGCTTCTAAAGCTTTTAAGCGCTTTTTAAGCGTTTCCAAGTCATTACGTAACCAGATAGACCGGACACCACTAGCTGAAATCATTATTCCACGTTGTGATAGCTCATGTGATGCACGCACTTGACCAAGAGCTGGGTTCTCAATCGCAAGATTGGTAACTGCTTCTTCGATATAATCTGGAACACGGTTTTGGATATTTGGTTTTTTACGGCTGATTTCCTGAAGAGCTTCTTCGCCGCCATTTTCGTATAGTTGTTTAAAGCGATAGAAACTATCTCTTGAATAACCCATGACATTACACGCTTTGGAGACATTACCCAATTGTTTTGCTAATTCCAAAACTCCAAGTTTAGGTTTAATGATTTTTTCTGCGATACTAGACATTTTAACAATCCTTTTAACTTGTTATACTTCATGGGTTAACCCATGAAGTATAACTTGTTAAAAGGATTGTTAAAATGTCTAGTATCGCAGAAAAAATCATTAAACCTAAACTTGGAGTTTTGGAATTAGCAAAACAATTGGGTAATGTCTCCAAAGCGTGTAATGTCATGGGTTATTCAAGAGATAGTTTCTATCGCTTTAAACAACTATACGAAAATGGCGGCGAAGAAGCTCTTCAGGAAATCAGCCGTAAAAAACCAAATATCCAAAACCGTGTTCCAGATTATATCGAAGAAGCAGTTACCAATCTTGCGATTGAGAACCCAGCTCTTGGTCAAGTGCGTGCATCACATGAGCTATCACAACGTGGAATAATGATTTCAGCTAGTGGTGTCCGGTCTATCTGGTTACGTAATGACTTGGAAACGCTTAAAAAGCGCTTAAAAGCTTTAGAAGCAAAAGTTGCTCAAGACGGTATTCTTCTAACAGAAGAACAACTAAAAATGCTTGAGAAAGCTAAGCTAGAAAAAGAAGCTCATGGTGAAATTGAAACTGAGCATCCAGGTTATCTTGGTTCACAAGATACTTACTTTGTGGGTACCATGAAGGGTGTTGGTAGGATCTATCAGCAAACCTTTATTGATACTTATTCAAGAATTGCATTTGCACAACTATATACTGAAAAAACAGCTATTACTTCTGCACATGCACTAAATGAGAAAGTGCTTCCATGGTTCCAAGAACATGATGTGCCACTATTAAGGATTCTTACGGATAGAGGTACCGAATATTGCGGTCTAGTTGAAAATCATGCATACCAGTTATATCTGGCATTGGAGG